GGGGGGGGGGGGCAAGGGGGCAGAACCGCAGAAGTGCCCTTTTAGTTGTAAAATACTAGCTGATAAATCACATTTCCAGTGATGCTTTTTCGGGCAAAATCATGAGATTCAGGTAATTTATAGGCCCAGAGAAAGTTAATTTACAAAAATAAGTGTGAATTTGGAAAAGAATGAGGTTAATTTACAAAAATTTTAGAAAATTTTTGGATTTTATAAATGGAGAAAATTGGTGATGTGCGGAAAAAGTTTTTTTACGTCACGAAAAGTTTTGGTATGTCCGGAAAATTTTTTTGACCCTAAAATAGTACACTGACCGAAATTGTTTTGGCGACGGGAGTGGGAGGTCCAGTACGGAGGAGTACAGTTTGCTAAATACTAAGGCATTGATGACAGTTATTAAAAGGATTTTACGGAAGACATGCTTAGCGCGATTTATCTGGCAGAGATTTGACATGTAGGATGAAACAGTAGAAAGGATATGATTTTCGAAGGAGAGGATTGGGTCAAACTTAACTCCGAGATCTTTCACTGATGAAGCAGGTGTAAGTTCCTTACCAAGTAGCGAGAGTCTAAAATCAGGTAACTTCGCGAGCATTTGGCGGCTTCCGTAGACCATCAATTTAGTTTTGTCTGGATTCAGCAAGAGCAGGTTATCAAAGCACCAGTTTCGCATTCTAATTAAATCCTTGTTTAGATCAGTCAGCGCAATGTTCGAGTCATTGATTCGGAAGGAATTTGGTGTCATCAACGTATGATTCTGATGAACAATTTTAGCGACTGACGGTAAATCATTCACATAAATACCGAAAAGTAACGGGCCCAGAATACTTCCCTGTGGGACACCACTAACCACTGGCAATTTCTCAGGTAGAGTAGAGTTGATACGTACTGCTTGGTATCTCTCGCTGAGTTAACTTTTAAACCAACCCAGGCATCTAGACGAGACACCAACGTCCTCCAATTTAGCAAGCAGTATATTATGGTTAATGCTGTCAAAAGCTTTGCTCATGTACAAAAGAATAACTGCTGTTACTTTCTTCTGGTCAATTGCTTTAAGAATAGAGTCGGTGGAATGAATAAGTCAGGTTTCCGTTGAATGTCAGGTTTTGTTGCCACTTTGATGCACAGAGAGACGGTAATTGGTGATTAGGTAAGACGTCAGTTGGTGGAGTGCTTCACGCTCACATACTTTTGAAAGAACTGGTAATAAGGAAATGGGTCGGTTATTGTTCGCCAGCTCATGATCGCCTTCTTCCGGAATGGAAGTTACTTCCGCGATTTTCCAAGTATTCGGAAATATATTTTTCGCCAGCGAATTGTTTATGATTGAGGTAATCCATGGCGAAATAATGGGTTAACAGTCCTTGATGACACGGATTGGTATTTTGTCGATACCTGGAGCTTTGTTATCTGGCATTAATTTCACAACATATTCTACTAGGGAGCATTCTACGTGTTCGAAGGTGAACTGTTCTGACTCGGTATAACTTTAGATTAAAACTAGATTATATTAGATTTAATCAGACTAGATAAGATTAGATTAGTTTTCACTGTAAATCTTTAGTAAACTGTTTAAGACAGAGTCTGCACTTTCAGCTTGGGCATTGTTCACTGTAAATCTTTAATAAAATGTTGGAGACAGAGTCTGCACTATCAGCTTGGGCATT